ATCTATCGTTCTATCTATCTATCTATCTATCTATCTATCTATCCATCTATTGTTTAGCTAACATTCTGTCCATCTATCATTCCATCTATCTTACTATCCATCTATCTTCTTATTTATTGAGCCATCCATCCATCTATCTATTTATTGTTTGTTCTGTCATTTGTTCTGTCACTCTGTCCATCCTTCTATCTATCAAACTATTCTTCTATCTATTGTTCTATCTTGTTTCATCTAACTATCGTTCTTTGTCTGTCTGTCTATCGTTCTATCTATCCAATCATCTATCTGTCCGTCTGTCTGTCCGTCCGTCTGTCCGTCCGCCCGTCTGTCTGCCCGTCTGTCCGTCCATCTGTCTGTCCGTCTGTCTGTCGTTCTATCCATCGTTCTGTCTGTGTGTCTGATGGTTTGTTGTTCTATCTATCGTTCTACATATCATTCTATAGTTCTATTCATCCATCTATTCATCCACTCTTATTAAAATATGAAGTTATTATTCAGGTTATTATTATTTAACGTGTTTTTATCATTGTTTCTCATTCCTAAAATATAAATATTTGCATCTTGACACTGTTAAAAAAGTAATTATATCATAAAAATATCTATTACCTATTTTAGTCATCATATAAATAAATAACGTTTTTAAATTGGCTAATAAAAATAGCCTTTTTTAGGGAAATGATATATGGACAAAAAAATTGCATATATTTCCCAGTATTGTGCAGCCCTAATATATATATATGATTGACAAGCAATAAGGATAAAGATAAGTGAATAAATATGAATTCCAGTGCTAAATTTTAAGGGTTATTTATGTTCACTTGCGTATTGTAAAAGCTTTTATTGCTGTGTTTGGTTGCCTCCTGAGAAGTGCAGATCTCAATTATAGTAGCTTCATACAGTGGAGAGGGAACTGTGCACTTCTTGTTTGTCTGTTCTTAAACTAAAGTGCACTTAGTGGTTTTAAATGGCTCTAACATTCTGTGACTGACCAGATGCTTTTAGCATGAGCTGAAACACAAATACAATCTCTGTAAGTTTAAGACTGCTGCTAATCTGAAGTCTAGAAAATCTTGAAGTGTCTACTTGTAAAATAAAGGGACTCTTTTTGTGAACATTTAACTTGAGTTGGTCATTAATTAATTCACTGGCAACAAAGTTACATGCGTTACATAGATGTCTAAAATCAGCAATGAAAATGCATTTCCTTTGCATTTGTTTTGGTTAATATTTAATATTTGTGCACAATTCTGAAAATACTACAGTGTTGGCATTAATCAGTGAATCTAGAATAAGAAGTTTGATTTATGATTATACACGACCTAACAAAAGTCTTGTCACCTATGCAAATTTTAGAAACAGCAAATAATAACTTGACTCCTAGTTGATCATTTGGTATCAGAAGTGGTTCATATGAAAGGCAAAGGCCTCTAGATTACACTTATTTGACCACAATAAAATAAAATATGATCATGCCTTGATTTTAAATGATTTAATTAGGACAGTAAGGTCTGACTTTTTTGAGACAAAAGTCTTGTCACTGAACAGAGATAATGTCCAGTATAGAATATAAAGTCCTGCTGCAGTGGAGACAGAATGAATATTGTGTCTGACTCCATCATGAGCTTGGAGGACTGCATCCATACATCTCTGACATGACTCAAATCACTGATTAATAAAGTCATCTGGAACGGCAAAGAAAGTGTTCCTGCAGGTCTCCCAGAGTTCATCAAGATTCTTTGGATTCATCTTCAATGCCTCCTCCTTCATCTTACCCCAGACATGCTCAACAATGTTCATGTCTAGTGACTAGGCTGGCCAATCCTGGAGCACCTTGACCTTCTTTGCTTTGAGGAACTTGATGTGGAGGCTGAAGTATGAGAAGGAGCGCTATCCTGCTGGAGAATTGTCCCTCTCCTGTGGTTTGTAGTGTAATGGGCAGCACAAATGTCTTGATACCTCAGGCTATTGATGATGATCATCCACTCTGCAAATCTCTTGCACGTCCCCATACTGAATGTAACCCCAAACCATGATTTTTGCTTCACCAAACTTGACTGATTTCTGTGAGAATCTTGGGTCAATGCGTGTTCCAGTAGGTCTTCTGCAGTATTTGTGATGATTGAGATGCATTTCAACAGATGATTCATCAGAAATATCTGCCACTTTAGAAATGATCAACTAGAAGTCAAGTTATTATTTGTTACTTCTACAACTGGGATCAAAGACAAGACTTTTGTCATGTTGTATAGACAAAATGCATATGGAGCATATGGGTAAAAACAATTAAGGACCACTCTTTAATCCATTATAGTGCTCTCTTTAAAATACTAATTGTAAAATCCTTCAAGTGTTACTGTAATCATTGTCAATAAAGTAACCATGTATATGTTTTCGTCTGATTAAGGTCTAATTATTGATTTCACTTATAGTTGTGTTGGAAATAGTAAAAAAAAAAAAAAAACACGTCATTTTATTGCATTGTCATTTTCATTTTTTTAAATCCTAATAAAAATGTTCAGTATTGCAAATAAATAAATAAGGTATGGAGATTTTTATGTCCTTACAAACAGTTTAATGCAGTAAACTATTTTTTGATAATAAACTACAAGCAATTACTGTATTAGAAACAAGACATTAAATAAAAAAAAACAATTGATGTCAACAACATAAAGTTGAATTTCTAGTAAGCATTGCTGTGTTTACAACATTAAAAAATAATTTTTGCATTGCATAATATACAGGACTGTGAGACGATTTAGTCAATTTGTGCAGTTAAAATCAAAGACCGCACTGTAGATTTAAAGTGGCGTTCAGCATTAATTATTGATTCAGTGGCTAATCAACTCTTCTGACTAATGTGTGTTTGTTGACATAGCCGACCCAATTTATTGTATTGTATCCATTCATTGCAATATAAATAGTGAAAAGCATTCAGGAATATACATACATACATACAAGACAAACCATCCTTATTCAGTAAAATTAGCCTAGCCTGCCTAGTTAACCTAATTAACCTAGTGAAGCCTTTAAATGTCACTTTAAGCTGTATAGAAGTGTCTTGAAAAATATCTAGTCTAATATTATTTGCTGACATCATGGCAAAGATTAAATAAATCAGTTATTAGAAAGGAGTTATTAAAACTATTATGATTAGAAATGTGTTGAGAAAATCTCCGTTAAACAGAAATTTGGGGGGGGGAACAGGGGGGCTAATAATTCAGGGGAGCTAATAATTCTGACTTCAACTGTATGTTTTTGATGCTCTTTATTGATCTCTATGGAAAATTAATTAAAAAAATTCAATTAAATTAATCGTAATTTTTTTTAGCGCTTTTAGAATGTAGATTGTGTCAAAGCAGCTTAACATTGAAGTTCTTGTAAATTGAAACTGCTTCAGTACAATTTTTGCAATTTATGTTTAGTTCAGTTCAGTTAATGTCAATGACAATGCGCAGCTCCACAAGTTCCAAACCAAGCAAGCCAGTGGCGATGCAAATTTATCCGCATCTTGGCGTTTCCATTACGCATTGTTTTAATGCAATATTCTGAAATGCACATGGTTGAAAACGTAGCATATGACTTATTTGTGTTTGCTGTAGGAAGCACCCTGATCAAAGTGGGCGACTGTCAGAGGAGGCTAGGCGGCGCTGAGAGAGAGTTTCTGCAGGCCTCGTCCATCAGCTTTCTAACACCCTTGCGCAACTTCCTGGAGGGAGACTGGAGGACCATTTCTGTGAGTCTGACTTTTAGATTTGATGCCATCACTGTAAGTTATTCAAATAAAGTTTGTGTGTAGCACTTTTCAGAACAATAATTATTCCAAATAAAAATTGTATTTGTCACATACAGAGTCATACACCGTATGATATGCTGCGAAATGCTTACACAACCACTTGTGACAAAAATAGCAATAAGATCTACAAATAATCTAAATTTTCGAGAAATAAAAGGTATGCAATAGAAAATAAAAGCAAATATAAAATATTTTAAGACCTTTATAGTTTTAAGGACTTTCCAAAGTAGCTTTACAAAAAGGTGCATGTTATTACAATAAAGTCAAAACAAGTTGTGAAGGTGTTGTGTATAGGGTGGACATTATATTTACTTATTACACGGCTATCTGGAATACTCGCTTTTGATTAGTCAGTCACAACATTCCAAGGTATGTTATTCTGAAATAACAACTGCTAAATAACACCAGATAATAAATCAATAAATATATAACAAATTCAAATCCTTATTCTTACATCCACATTCATATGTATCTGCTTGTCTGTTACGCTGCAGTTTTTGACTGTTTGGCACCAATAAATAATAGGTAGGTTAGCATTTTCTCCATTTAGCCAGTTTCATTTCTGTCAGCTTTGCATTTTTGACTGTTTGGCAACATATTGTGACTGAATAATGCACAGGTTAGTGTATACTCCATTCAGCTGGTTTCATCCTTGTCAGCTTTGCATTTAATTAAAGCAATTTAAATTATTTAATTTATATGTTTTGTGACAAGTAGCCATGTAATAAGTATTGGGAGAATAAACCATTTAGTTTTATACAACAGTGCTCCTCTTCGTATCAAACTGCTGATAAACGTGTTGGGTCTGTTCTACGATAACACTCCTGGATGAACTAGGTTATCCCTAACATAGTCAACCTGCAGTTATGTAATGTATAGTGTACATTTCAGAAAGATGATGTCCATGTGTATAATACATTTTGTAGGGATATTTTACAGTTTTAACTCAAGTAATGACCAGTCTGTAAGATGAAAAAGAGCCGAAGTCAGAGATTCAAATAAATAAATAAATAAAGTTTACTGAAGATAGTTTTCAGTGTCATCAGCAGAAGCTGCTTCAGCACTTGCAATGAGTTCCTTGGTTGCTCTGCTTACAATCACAAATCAATACTACAATACTCTCTACACAAGACCAGAAAGGGTGTGATTCAGGTAACAGGTTCCGATTGGTTAAAACAAAGATAGACAATTCTAAATATGTATGTCAATGCGGGGTCATATCTGAATCCAGATAGGGATGACGACAGGAGGCTTGGGTCAGGTCGCCCATAGACAATTAAGAGCTGGTCTCAGACCTGTAGAACTGACCTATCGGATGCAAATTTACACGCAAGAGACGATCTGTTATAAAATCCCAGGGTTGTTTTTTTGTACTCTCAGCTGTCTTATCAAACTCCTATTCAAAACTGCTATTAAAAGCATTCAGGCTGCCATCTTCTTACTACGCACAAAGTCATAAAAATTATTTGCATGAAAAGGAAATTACTTTAAAAAGAGTTAACCGTAAAAATAGCAAAATCATGTTAAACACTTTAGATTGTATTAACTGATAGAAATAACAATAGAAACGGTTGTTCCCAGTCATCAGGCTCAGCAGTTCCACTCTAAAGGTCTATGACCTGCTTTGGTGGCTCCTGAAAATAAAGTCAAAATAGACAAAGACTTACATTAACCACTTAAACTCTGCGTGCCCGGAACCGGGGACAAAATGACGTCATCGGGAGAATAACTATAGGTTTAAGAGGTCTGTCTGCATCAATAACACCATATGACATACTGGGTGAAAGCTTAGAATGTCTATTTTCAACTGATGCACATCACTTTAATATTTGTTGCACTGTAACGAAGTTATTTACACTTAATTTACACTCGATGTATAATATCTCAACCCTCCCGATTATGTACTTTGTTCAGTATGCATATTTTTTACATCGCTAATATTAGACACACAATGGCAAGTAATATGTCAAATTAAAGCTCTCATTCCCAAAAATAAGGATCCATTGTTATTTTTATTGATTTACAATCACATATCTAACAGTCTTCGAATGAATCATAAAGTATAAACTCTTTTTTTGTAAACATACAAGGGAAATTATTGATCATTTGCTACGTGAGCTGCCGGAGCTAGCACAGATAGCCAAACAAGCTACATCATCTTTTACCTTAGGTTGTCCTCTGCAAAATGAGTCCATTTTCAGCGTTTTCTGAGGAAGTGTGCATTAGTAAACCCCTGCTGTGTCTTGTAAGTGCCAAACGCAACAAATTAGGGTCATGATATTCCAAAATTCGGGAAAATATGATCGCTTCGACCTATCCAGATGAATTACATATCACTGGAAAGGTGAGATTCTCATCTTTACGCTGATTTATTGCGAGCCGTGATCAGCCAATCAGTGACTGAGATATTGCATGACAAACAGGAAGAGGGATGTCCGAAACAGAATGTGTAAAAGTCCCAGATCAGAAGCAAAAAAGTTGTGATTTTCCACCCTTCGGTTGAACTTACATAATTATTGCATACTACATGATAAAAGCAAAATTATTTTTTTCTAGTGTCTCCTGACAAATGCTGGTAACAATCAAAACAGTCTGCAGTTTGATGGAGCATACAGGGCCTGAGTTATACACTTTCTAAATCAGGCTTTAGAACAAAAAAACTAAAAGCGTTTTTTGTTGAGGTGGTTCCTAATAGGACAGACAACATATATAATAATATTTTATCACTTCCCGCAGTTCTTTTTGTAATTTCAAAGGGTTTTCTGTACAATTACATTGAGATTTTGCATTTATTATAGTGTATGAGGGTATGGGAAGACTTCAAAAATAGGTAGGCGAAAATAAAATAAAAAATGGCATTTTTCCTCCTTGCAGTTGGAATGGAATTATTCTCACATAAATTGTTATAATCAAAAAGTCCTTTTTCCTGTGTTTGCTGACACCTGCTGGAAAGAAATAAAATTGTTTTCAGGGTGCTGCAATTCATATATATACATATATACAACAATTGTTTTCAATTTCAACTGTATTTTATGAAATTTCAAAGGGTTTCCTTTCAAATGATACCGAACTTTTGTATTTACACCACTGCATGTGGGTATGGGAAGCTTTTTAAATCGGAAGGCGAAATTCAGGCGGAATTACCCCAAATAGCCCCAGAGCTTAACTGGTTAAGCATTGTGTTAACTTATTCATTAGTTAAATTGATTTCAAAGTTAAATACTCATTAAAATAATCATATTAATAAATTAGTGAGAAACAGGATAATGAGAAAAGGATAAACGTTAATCCTTGCTGGGACTGGTTGGAAGACAGAAATCCAAATTCATCAATTTTCAATGAAGTGCATGTTTGTATTGCTTAAGTGTTGTCCACTCAGTGAGCAAGATGCACTGATAAATGTTTTCATCCTCCTCACAGAGAGAGCGGAGACTCCTGGAGAATCGACGCTTGGATCTGGATGCCTGTAAAGCACGTCTCAAGAAGGCCAAAGCTGCGGAAGCCAAAGCGGCTGTAAGACTCCTTATTACGCTTTTACTTTTTCCTCTGTTATTTTTTTCTTTATGCATCCTCTGATTCTAGTTCAAGCATTAGTTAGATTTCTTCTTTCAGTAATTTGGAGGAAGAAATGGTCTGTTTACTGATCTCAATTGTTGTCAGACCACATAGGAATATGAATGTGCATCTGCATCTCTTCCTCCTGTTGCAAACTGAATGATTTCTCACTTGTTGATCGAGCACTAACTCTAACCTTCTGCTTTAACCTTCGCAGTGTGAGGGAGAAGTGAGTATTGCAGTGAATTTCCTCTCTTGCACATTATGCTTCTCAACATTTTTTGATTAGCGTAAAGATTTGATCAGTTTTGTTCCTCATTTTTCATGCTCTTCACTTGCTAGGAGCTTCATAAGATGTTATTTTGAGTGATATGATGGAACTGCCTAAATTTGAATTAACTCACATTTCTATAATCTTACCTTTCAGATCCTAAAATAAACATCCTGAGCATAAAATTATGGCTATTTAATACCTTTATTAACTAACTTATTAATAAATTTATTGCCACTAGTCAATTTCACAGAATTTGCAAATCAAATACTGTATGTAAGTGTAATGCACAGTTTTACACAATATTTATTTAATTTGTCTGGTTGCTCTTGTTAGAATATCATTTTATTGGGAAATAAGCTTATCTGTGTTATTTTAACCATGTTTGAGTAACTAAATGACTGAATGTAACACTATTTTTTTCTATAATATAACTTGCTATGATAGCTTTGTCATTCTTGTGTTCCTTGGAGGTACAGTGAAGCAACCAGATTAAAAATGTATTTTTTTTTTATTAAAAATGAATATTTATAACAATAAAAATGAGATAAATCTGTTTGATTTGTAAAACACTTCAATTCATTCATTCATTTTCTTGTCGGTTTAGTCCCTTTATTAATCTGGGGTCACCACAGCGGAATGAACCGCCAACTTATCCAGCAAGTTTTACGCAGCGGATGCCCTTCCAGCCGCAGCCCATCTCTGGGAAACATCCACACACACATTCACACAAACACTCATACACTGCGGACAATTTAGCCTACCCAATTCACCTGTACCGCATGTCTTTGGACTGTGGGGGAAACCGGAGCACCTGGAGGAAACCCACACAAAGGCAGGGAGAACATGCAAACTCCACACAGAAACGCCAACTGAGCCGAGATTCGAAACAGCGACCTTCTTTCTGTGAAGCGACAGCACTACCTACTGCGCCACTGCCTCGCCCAAAACACTTTGATTTTTATCAATAATATATATATATTTTTTTTTCTTTCTAAATAAAGACATCAAATGTTTTATTATGTCCATTTTAGGATTAATATGAATGTTAATTATTATTTACATTAATCATTATTAATTTAAATAGTTTTCTAAGTAAATAAAAATAATATATTTAGGGGCGGCACAGTGATTCAGAGGTTAGCACTGTCACTTCACAGCAAGAAGGTCTCTGGTTCGAGTCCCAGGTAGGCCAGTTGGCATTTCTGTTTAGAGTTTGCATGTTCTCTCCATGTTGGTGTGGGTTTCCTCCAGGTGCTCCGGTTTTCCCAACAAGTCCAAACACATGCGGTATAGATGAATAAACTAAATTGGCTGTAGCGGATGTGTGTGTGTGTGAATGAGTGTGTATGGATGTTTCCCAGTACTGGGTTGTAGCTGAAAGGGCATCCGCTGTGTAAAACATGATGAATAAAGGGACTGAGCTAAAGGTAAATGAATGAATGAAGTAATAGTATTCTTATAAACTCATATTCAAATTTTAATTAGGAAAATCATCTTGGATATTTCCCCATTGATACAATAGTGTTAATATTATTTAAATATTAGTCTTAATATTATTTAGCTTTGCTATTAGTTTTTTGTAGATTTTATTCTTCTTCTTATTATTATTATATATGCAGCTTTTAATAAATGTTCATTTCAGTTTTATTTGTAGGAATTGTGGTTATTCTGTCAGCGTCCTCTAGTGGCTAATATGTGAACAGACATACCTTATTAATTGAACAGAACAGGTTATGTGAACGCAGCATTGATTATATTATCCTTTGTTCCATCATATCATAATATATATTCACTTTAAATGCTTTGGGATTCATCTATGCAGTATTTTTTTATGTGAAGCACTCACATAAATGCATTATTTACCATAATTCTTTCACCATTCAGAGAAGGGCTGCACAATATATTGAAAATTTTGCATTATCACAATAATAGTACATTCAATATCTGTAAAGCAAAGAAGTGCAATACATTTAATTTGATTTATGGGGCAATCATAACATCGATTGTTTATCCAAATTTTTATGTGCCTCAAAGTTGTAGAAGCATTTATCTTATTATTCTGTTCTGCTATTGGCTGGAGCGGCCCAAAAGTGAACCTAGAGCTGAAAAAAAACACTAATGGCGGAGATGAAAGATCCGAAAAATATCTATTAGCCATTTATTTTAGTATGATCATTATAGAAATAAATTATGTAAATAAAAAGCTAATAAAATTTCTCCTTGCATAGGCTGTTTATTTAAATTTGACCAATTGTGCTGTGTTTAGACACGCCTTCCTAATAGATTCTATTCTGCTATTGGCTCGAGCAGCCCATAGGTGAACCTAGAGCTAAAGTAAACCCTAATGGCGGAAATGAGAGATCTGAAAACTATCTATTAGCCATTTATTTTAGTATGATTATTATAGAAATAAATGATTTTAAAATACTCTAATAAAATTTCTCTAGGCATAGATGGTTTATTTAAATTTGACCAATCAGATGGAGCTGTGCTGTGGTAAGACACGCCTACTCAGTAGATGCTGTTCCGCTATTGGCTGGAGGAGTCCAAAGGTAAACCCAGAGCTGAAAATAATTACACTGGATTAGAGCGCACACACATATGCACACGGTCAGCATTCAGTCTCATTCGCACACTGAGACGAGCAGAGCACACAAATCTAAAATCATCTTCATGTGAGCGCTTTAATTGTCAAGTAGAGCGATTAGATTAGAGCCCTGAAAAATATCTATTAGCCCTTTATTTTAGTATGATCATTATATAAATTAATGATTTCGAAAATAGCCTTTAAAATCTCTCTAGGGAAATGTTATATCACAAGAAATTTTGTATTGTGCAGCCCTAATTCAGATCTTCTGACTGTCATGTTTATTGATTTAAATCTTCCGATATTTAAATTTTTCTGAGCTGTGTTTCTGCATGGCATTAAGAAGCTTCTCAACCCTCAGTTTTCATCCCGTAGGCTGATAAAGTCGGTGCCAGTTAGTCTCTTACTAAAAATATCTGCTGCATTAAGTGATTGCTGATTGTGTATTTGGCACAGGTTTGTATTAACATGTCCTCCTGTCTGTTCACAGGCTGTTCCAGACTTTCAAGAGACTCGACCACGTAATTATGTGCTTTCTGCCAGCGCATCTGCAGTAAGAAAATCCCATCCACACACACGCACACACACACACACACACACACACACACACACACACACACACACACACACACACACACACATACACAAACATAAGAATTTGTAATTATTATTTTTAAACTGGAATGATTTACAGTACAACAAATGTATATTTTACAGTAAAATGAATCCTTTATATCAGAGATGGGCAAACTAGGTTTGCATATGGAAACCTTTGATTTGGTCTTACAACCTACCGGAGAAAAGAGGGAGAATGATGGGACTGATTTAGAGACCAAATTTAATGTAACTAAATAATCTTTTTTTCCTTTTGACATAAGATTATTTTGTGTGCCCCATTGGCAGATTATTTTGCTTGTTTTAAGGAAAAACTAACTTAATATTGGAATATTATTTCTTAAAACAAGACTATATGTTTTGCTTGTCTAGAAAATTCTTCTTGATTTAAGAATTTTAAAATATTTGGACTAGAAACAAGACCAAAAAATCTAAGTAAGAACATCATTTTTTCAGTGCATAATTTGTTTTATTATTTTATTTTAAACTGTTGTTGAAAAAGTAAAAGAAAAATTGTCTCGGAGACACAAAATCTACCGGCAGTTCATAAATCTATAGTCCTATCTATTCTCATGAATCTAAACACATGCATAATATTAGTAATAAAGTAATAATATTAATATTCATGAGTTTGTCAGACATGACCCTGTCAGGTTGGTTTTAAAGGACCAGTCTGCTTTTCTACTTTGGTTTAGTTCATTTTTTTTTGTACAAGGACAATACACAACAACACATTTGAAGCTATTTCAATCATAGGCAAGATGCATGGTATCAAAATTATAGCAAAAATGCTTATTTCCACTTGTAGTACCCGGGCAAGTATATTAAGTTATTATTATTGTGTGTAAATTAATTAAAATAGATCAGGTCAATAATATTACACACCTGTATACACAAACACAAACACACACACACACACACACACGTCACATCAGTAGTCTACATTAAGAAATGTGAGTTATTTTACTGATTTCTATTCTAGATAGGCTTTCTAGATATTTTACTCTTGTTCGTTGAGGAAGAGCATCCTAATACTCACTGCTGTTATCAAAATAATGATGTCCTTCTGCTCTCTCATTGATTGTCTTTATTGCAACTTTTCTTTTGACATTTCTGAATTTTGTGTTTTTGTTGTCTCTTCGCTGATCAGCTCTGGAGCGAGGAGCTTGATAAAGTAAGTGTGACATCATTGCAGGTTAATTTACATGTTTTCATAATGCTTTGGTTGTTGTGTAATATATATATATATATATATATTAGAGATGTTACAAAGAATTTTTTCTTGATTTACCATGATGCAGACCCAAACAATTTGGTATGGGTTTAGTAATGGCCTGTTTTCACTCACTGGTACAGTACAGGTCGGTACGGGTCTCCTTTATCAGCCTTGCATTTCCACTGCCTAAAGGGTACCAAGGGTTGATGTACGACAGAAAGTTTCAGTCGACGTCATTCTCACTTGAGAAAATCTCAAAATAAAGCCGAACGGGTCATTCACATATCATATGAGAAGCACTTCTCACAAAACAGTGGCTTTATACACATAAATACTTGTGTATAAATGTTTATTGTGTATAAACGTTTATAACCTTTCTATGAACATAATTTGACTAAAAATGCATATCAATGCGAAGTAACGTCTGCAATCATATAAAATAAATAAATAAAACACATTTAAACACGTACAGACCCTTAAAGTCACTAATATGTTACCAATTACAGAAAAACTACACACAGCAGACATTTAGTCCTTATTTGGCTTCCAAAACAACATGCGACATATAGTCCACAGTCAGTGCAAACCTCTCATCTGTGTCTGTAATCTACACCAGCACATGATGTAGCCTCTGACATTCTGTCATTCCGAGTTCATAATAGTCCAAAAGGTAATGATAATAGTTAAACTAAAAAGTTAAAAGTTGCTGATAGAATCATTTGCTCCTTTGTTTTTGCGGGCGGTTTCTTTGTTTTAATTTTCCTGCTTGTGTATGCACGAGTGATGTTTCTCTGTGAACCAATAGCATTCAGCTGTGAGTCTAGCTCCGCCTTTTGGTACCCTTTTGCCATGCAGGTACCCTTTACCAAACCATATCGTACCACTCAGTGGAAACGGGCCATAATAATCATAACTGGTTATTATGTACTGACAACATTTGTTTCATATTAAAACACTCTAACTACTTAAAGACAGACAAGCAAGATTGAACCGATTCGATGACATGGTAAATGTAACCGAACCGTGAGACCAGTGTAGGTTCACACCCATAATATATATATATTTATTGATTACATTTGAGACTGCAAGGTATTTTTATTACAAGTTATTGCTTTCTTTTCGTTGTTTTATACAAAGAGTAACAGAGTTGTAGTTTTTCCAAGATATTTATTTATTTTCATTTTGTTTCAAGTGTTTGAAACTTTCAGATTGTCTTGATCACAACTTTGTTTAAACTGTATATTGACTTCACATTCATCTGTGTAAACAAAAAAAGAGAAAATCAATTACTTTTCATTATTATAATTTATAATTGAACCTATATATACATAAATACTTATACTTATTGAACAGAAATTCACAAACACATAACATATTTCTAATTATATAAACTTTATTGAAGAAAAAACTGACTGTGTTTGATTATTCGCTCACCTGCTGTGCTGCTCTTCTCTCTCCAGTAGCCGTTCCTTCTCTTCTGACCAATTGGCCCACATTGGAAAATACGCTATCGCGACAAATCAAATCGTACTTGCTACAATATACATATATAAACCTTCACAAATACACAAATTTTCTTGGTCCTATCATTTAAAGGGCATTCACCAAAAAAATAAAAAGTATTAATATTAATAATATAAAAACTAAAATTAAAAATGATAAATAAAAATATATTGAGCTTATTCTGCGATGCTGTAGTGTGCTACATTTTTGCGATTGTTTTATAACTTCTGATTCAGTTGCCTATGGGGGAAATGAATATAATAATAAATGGAGGAAATCAGTCAAACTATTCGTGTTCATCACTATACATAAAAAAGTAGAATAAAATAATAAGAAAATCAAGTCTGCAACATGAAGCAGCATTACAAGCTGTTTTTAACGTCTAAAAATCAATGGAAGTGAATGAGAACTGAAGTCCAAAAAGATTGCAATGACTGCTGCCACTCATACGTGAATAACAAGGTCAATATAATAATAATAAAATACAAATGATAATAATTAATTATAGTAATATTCGTATCAGTGATTAATTAATGAATGCATGGTGTTAATGTGACTGTGCCTAATGTGTTTGTTTTGCTCTCTCTGTGTGTGTTCTGCAGTCGGAGCAGGAGTTACGGGTCGCTCAGGCAGAGTTTGACAGACAGGCTGAAGTCACCAGACTCCTGCTGGAGGGCATCAGCAGCACACACGTCAGTCTTGTTTACACACACGCACATGCTGTTTGAACAGGTTAATGCCATCTAAACAGGCCGCTTTATTCAGATAACTTTCAGCATCAGCTTGAAAGCTTTTCTCTGACAATATAATTTCAAAACATCACTGTCATACTTTAACAGATGATAAAGAATCTGTCATCCATATGCAAACACATCATGTGCTGCCTGTATTTGAAAGAGACTGGTGTGTCTGTGTGTGTGCGCCTGTGTGTGTGTGTGTGTGTGTGTGTGTGTGTGTGTGTACTGTTTTAATCAGTATTAGTCGTTTCAGATGAAATAATCAAATGTGTGTGTGTCTCTCTGTATGTGTGCAGGTGAATCATCTGCGCTGTCTGCGTGAGTTTGCGGAGGCGCAGGCCATGTATTACAACCAGTGTCACAAATACATGCAGGAGCTGCAGAGAGAGCTGGGCAGGTGAGCAGATGGTGTATTCAGAGATGTTTCCAGGGTTGCAGCTGGAAGGACATCTGCTGCGTAAAACATATGCTGGAATAGTTGGTGGTTCATTCCACTGTGGCGACCCCTGATGAATAAGGGACTAAGCTCAAGGAAAAATGATGGATCAATAGTGTGCTAGCATGGCCTTACTTCATAATTTTTGTCAGTGCTTCTTCCACTCAATCCAAAGTTACTTTCACTGTTCGTTACTACAGTCTACATTTTGTTAGCTATCAGAATACATACATATGTTTGTTAACAAATATGCAACTTTGTTCATCTAAAGCAGGGGTCATCAACCCTGTTCCTGCAGAACTACCTTCCTGCAGATTTCAGTTGCAACCCTGACCAAACACACCTGTTTGTAATTATCAAGTGCTGCTTTAAGCTGTGGTCACATTAGAATTTGAGCATGCAAATTCTGTCGTACAGTGCTGCGAAAAGGGGCAGGATTAAACAAGATGAAAGTTTCAGTCGCATCATTCTCGCTCGAGGTAATGCCTACAGTAAAACTGTACGAGTAGCACACATATCATATGAGAAGCACTTCTCACAAAACAGACGCTTTACACACATAAATGCTTGTGTATAAATGTTTATTAAGAACTTTTCTATGAACAGGAATTGATAATAACTGCAGATCAACGATGTAAAATAGCCTACTGGAACGTCTGTAATTATATAAAATAAATAAATCAATGAACATATATGAACACATACAGCCCCTTACAGTCCCGGATATGTTATCAACTACAGAATAACTACACACAGCAGACATTTCATCATTAGTTAGGTTCAAAACAACACAAAATATAGCCTACAGTCAGTGAAAACCTTTTATCTGTGTCTGTAATCTTCAGCAGCACATGTCATGTAGCCTCTGTTAGAGAGTCATTCAATCATTCCCAGTTCATATTAGTCCAAAAGGTGATGATAAAAATGAACACAAGGCAGTTTGTTACATTTGCTGAAGAAATAATGCGCCCCTATTTTCCAGGCTTCCCCTTTTTTTTATTTTTCACTCTGGCGTTTGTCAGTTTCTGATAGGCTCGGGTTTCAAAAACACGTCAATAATCAAGCGCACGGTATTATCAAGAGCTCAAGAAGATTAAATATAGACGGGCAGCGAGCGCAAGCAAGAAAGCGAAACTGCTCGCGCTTCAGACTGGCTCGTAAAAAACTACGAGGCACAGGGTTCTGCTCTACTCCATGGCTTTGTGGCTGTTCACCAAGACGACGACGAGGTTTGTTTGAGCCCGGATCGACCATGGCTCGTTATTATATGTAATATAATGCTGTAATCTCTCGCCGTGTATTTCAAACATTGCAGAATTTTGTTTTGATTCTGGATTGTTGTGTAAGCAAATGATGTATCTCTGTAAACCAATAGCGTTCAGCTGCGTGTCTAGCTCGGGTTTTTGGTACCCTTTCTCGTGTTTGGTACTCTTTCCAAAGGGTGCCAAAAAAGTGGTACGGTACGGTACGGTTCCGTTCGGTACACCTTTTGACAGTGGAAATGGCCATAAAAGCGGACCAAACCAAACCGTACCACTCAGTGGAAACGGGCCATTACACACTCAACAGCAGAGTACATGAATGTAGTGGCGTCCCAAATGGAGCACTAATGTTTTCTACTAAGTGGAAATTTAAACCGTTTCCCTAATGACGCTTGACGGTTGCCAAATCAGTAAAATAACCAGACTATCAAATAATACCTGCCATGAGTGTAATGCTGTGTTCACACCAGACGCGGAACGTGCGGATAAATCTCGCTTTTCGCGCGTAAATAGCCGCGTGAACATTTGAGGTTACTCGCTTCATTCGCGCGTCAAACCCCGCTTCATTCGCGTGTCAAATTCACTTCAGAACAGACGCGGATTCGCGTGATGGGCAGGGCTTCTGTCTGCCCGGTGACTCTAGCTTCATAGCCAATGGGCTAACATGGATTTTATGAAGAAAATAACAGTGTTTATGTGCTTTATGAAGGATGAAAAACAGCGTCGATACGTTTAGACATCTGGGACACCGACAACAGGCGATACGTCACAATCACGCTCCCACAAGAGCAAGCTCCTGATTGGTTAACGCGGTGCGAATGTCCGCTGAAGTTCAGATTTTCGAACGCGAGCGATTCGCGCGTCAAACACGCAAAACGCTCAATTTGCGTCACGCCATTCGCGCCATGCGCACCGCGCAATTCTCGTCATTCGTGCTATTTGCGCGTATCGCGCCGCAGGATGTCTATTCGCGCGTTTGCATTGACTTAACATGTAAATCACTCGCGCTTGACGTGCGTTCCGCATCTGGTGTGAACGCAGCATTACCGCATTCACCATCGGGAGGAGCTATAATCACTCCCGTAGGAAAATTTTGCTTTCATAATCAAAAATAAATAAAGTTATCCAACAAGTTTGCCCAATAGCTCCGCCCCTTCCACTACGTGAGCAAAGCTGCTGTCTTTGAGTGTGTGAAGTGTCCATCATTACACACTTCATTTTACCGGCTGAATGAGTGCATCATCCGGGTATTTAACGTGCACTTTAACAGTTTTCAGTGTGAACACACTACTTGGACTATTTATGCTACAAAATGGTGTAGAATAGTGTGTAAGTATGCAATTTGGGATGCAGCTTCAGACTTTTTTGTTTTGAACGAGGAAAGTGTTAAACGTATGCTTTTTAAATATTCTTATAATTTTCTAATATCGTAATGTCTGTTTTTCTCCCACTCCTCTGCTCTCAGTTCCAGTGGAGACATGTGAGTCCTGAGTCTGTTGTCTTGTTAGTCAGCATGCCCCACTGATGATGCCTGTTGTCTGATTAGTGTATTCAGTTGTAAGTGTTAAACGACTTTTTAGATTTATTTAAAGTCGACTTTTATGTTATTAAAGTCGAGTTGACGTTGACTAGTTTATGGTGACATCGTCAATAAAACACAAGATGCAACACACCACAATTTGCTATTTTTAGCAGAATACACACAAAAATATACACACGCTGTTTGGCAGCTCATAACCCATTGCAAAAACAATGCAACATGTGACCAATGACTAATTTTTGTGGAAAACAAATGCATTGTCAACACTTTCAGTTTGTTAATAATGCAACATTAGCAATGGCTAATTTCAGTGCAACATAAATGCAGTCAACACATTGATCTTGATACTACTAAGACTGTAAAATAACAATAACAAATATCTTTAGTGCAAAAGTAATGCATGCATTATCAGTACATAGAACACCAATTCATGGCAACTAATTTAATAACAACATAATGCAAGAAGGACAAAGGTTATAAGCCGACTCTTTTAAAGGCTGATTTATACTTCTGCGTCAAGCACACGCGTATTTATTGACTAGTCTAACAAACAAACGTACAAAACATAACAACAAAGACAGAAAAGAAAGCAAGCAAGGAAATAAAGAGTTTAGATAAAAGAATGGCAAATCTAGCTCAGTTCCACACAACTATTAAGTATTCTTTTGTTTGATCAAACATAATTCACTGTGTTTGGACCACGTCAGACATATAAAAGGATTACTTATGCACATCACCTCAAAAACAGAGGAGAATGGCCCTGAAGCACACAGCATAAGGTAAGAGATGACAGCCTCCTGTGCTATCTGGGGCTGCTTATTGATCATAAATGTATTAATAATTGATATGTGAATATAATTTAGTAAAAGGAATGCAAAAACCATATGAGCACCGGAAAGAGCTTTCATTTGAGCTATAACTTGTACATGTGTCATATGAAAAATTTGAAAATGAACCAATGTAAAATACCCAGCTCGGGTATCCAAAATACTGTGTATTTAAGTGTAAATAACTTCTGTACAGGTGAATAAAAACCAAAGTGATGCAAATGTGCATAAAATATAAATTCTACACTTTCAAACTAAACCACTTACGGGGGTCTGCTGCAATGCTAGCCCTTTAAATCTTAAAGCGAAAGTCAATAAAGTCATGGACCCAGTACCGGGCCTGCAGAGTTTAACTGGTTAAAAGGGTTAAAAGTACAAGACGTACAGGATATATGAGGGAGTACACAAATTACAAAAGTTATGTGTACTTAAAACAAATAATTTTGGGTTCTAAATGTCTGTTTAATATTGAGGAATGTCTGTGTGCGGGCAGAAAGTTGAGGCAAAGAATGGGTTTTCCCTCCTTTTTTTTAATCTTATCTGCCACGTCATTTGAAGTTCGGACAGAGAGAGAGCCGGGACAGTCTGCGAAATGTCCTGTTATAATGAAGTTGTCACCCAGGGATCCTCACACAGACTTGCTGGACCCAGGGGTCATGAACTCATGCAGAAAGGAACCCAGACCCCTTTTAAGAATCAAAACAAAATTTTACCTCCAGACTGTACGTTACAAAATGCACGACACCGCGCAAGACATGTGTCGTGGGTCATGCCAGTCACTCGACGCAGAAGTATAAACCAGGCTTAAGAGTCCTGCTCAGACACAGATTTTACCCTTATGTGCGTGTCAAAAAGCTGCTCAAAGTCTTGCTCAATTCAGGCCTTTTCGCGGTTTCTGCTCATTTTAGTTATCAGACGTCTCCTCTCACTGTGTGGATCTTCACCCCGTTCACCTGGGATGATATTTACACATAAAGTTTGCCACAACTTCACAGTTCATTCACAAAACATGTCAGCATCTACACATCGCAGAGGACAACAGCCAATTACATTACTATTTTAGGGCCTACTCACACTATGGCATCCGTACCGTGCCCAGGCCCGTTTCCCGGATCGTTTGAGAAGTGTGAGTGCGCTGAATCGGGCTTAAGCACGGTTCACTTGGCCGGCCCTGGCCCGGTTGGAAGAGGTGTGCCTGAGAACGGTTCACTTGGGCTTTGGTGCGGTACGCTTGTGTGTGAGTGCAAAACGCGCCAAAGCCCGAAACTGAAAGCGAGACGTGACTTTTAAGGGACTGTTTCATATGGATTTATTAATCATTCTTAATGTTCAGTGAACGCAAACTGCCGTAGTTTATTAAAGACGCAAACTCCTCACTTCACGACAGCTGCACGACACTGCACGACAGCCTTCAGCAGACCTCCTCATTCCTGCAGCACGAGGGCTTTATGATTTTTTATGAGCGCCAAAAGTGGCAGATCTGTCCGGTAAAATATCTGACTGCGTGTCCCCGCATCCCTAAGGACTTTTTGGCGAAATATTTGACTGCATGTCACTGCATAACAAACGACTGAAACGATATAACTAGAGAAATCTCCACTGTGCTACTGGGTGAGAGTGCTTCTCACTGAACAGCGCAGCAGAGATGACGTAAGTGTGCCGAGGCCCATTTATGGTGTGAATGCAGGCCGTCGGGGGAGACGGGAGGGGGGACAAGCGTGCTTTGGCCTGGTTTAAGGCAACTGTACCTACTGTGAGTACGGCCTTAGTGTTGTGTAAACGCCATTGGCCAACAACTGCGTGAGGTTTATTGCTTGATGTAACTGGCTGACGATTTAAATTTCATGTGAATCATTCACACTGACATAAGAAAAATAACATTTCAATTAATTTCAGTCATACGAGGGCAGTTTCATTCAGTGAACCTACATTTGTCTGTAACTTAAGGCTGCCATGTAGTTTAGATCAAAAATCATGTGATCTGTAGTGCAACTAATCAAGACAGAGCATTAAAGTCTACCAATCGACTAATCTGTGCAACCCCTCTCAGTAGTCAGCATGTCCCTGATGGTGTTTGCTGTCTCTCAGAAGGTGTCCTGACTCTCTGGAGGTGAACTGTGAACCGTCCGGGAGCCCGTCAGACCTGCTGAACTCTCCGTCTCCGCTGGACTCAGACACTCTTCAGATTGAGGAGGTCCAGCCTCCTGCCAGTGGCACACGCAAAGCCCGAGTCTTGTACGACTACACTGCCGCAGACTCCAGTGAGCTCTCACTGCGCGCAGATGAGGTGAGAGCAACCAACGATGTGACCTAGAATTAAAACCTCCATTAATGAAACACTTTACTAGGGGTGTGAATTTACACTGGTCTCACGGTTAGGAATAAGCCGGTGTAAGATTCTGAAGGTATAACCTTGGATCACAGTGATTACTGCTCTAAAATATGTTCCCTTAAATGTCTGGGTAAAAAACAACAACTTTCCCCCATTGAACACAATATATTTGATTTTAAGAAACATTTGAAATATTTTGCAGCAGTAATCAGGCTAAATAATAAAGTTACTGATTGGCTTCTGCTGTCTTCATTAGTTTCAAAAACACCGATTTCTTTACAGCTTGATCTTTCTTTTCTGAGGATATAAAGTAAAGTCACTGCACTGTTCAAGTCTAGAGCAGCCTTGGATGTTGGTTTATAAGCGATTTGTTTCGCAGATGTTTGCTGAATCTTGCGCTGACAGGTAGATTTTGATGTGGAGGCTCCTTTTCTGCTGGAAATACTGTTGCCCTAACAAAACAACATAATGTAGACCATTTCAATGTGGTGATGTCATTGACCCATGAACATTTCTTGTTTTTGTTGCCAAACTATTTCATAACTGTAGAAAGAGGCAATTCAATCATATATTATGGTAAAACAGCTGCCATAACATTATTTATCAATTTGTGGACCTTTTTGAATTCTTTGATGCTATATAAATTTAAAATGTATAACAGGAAATAGGTTAGGACCATTGCTTTTGTTTACGTCCCTCAAAATGGTCTTTAGTCATAAAAGTATGTTAAAATGACCTTACATATACCTTATGAATGATATAAAATAGTTTTGTTTGTGGTTTTAAAACTTTTACTTCTCCTAACTGCGGTAAACCTTGAAACCGGTTATTATCCCGTCCCTACTTACAGTTCCAGTGTAGGTGTGCACCGCACATATGTGTTTTGGCAAAACCTGATGAAGGCAAGTGTGTGCAGTGAAATATAAAGCTGTTTTTTTTTTTTTTTTTTTATAATTGCCATGATAAAGGCTTTTTATTGTTTGCACTTATTTTTCGAGTGCCTCGGACCTATGATTTTGAGATTTTGAGTTCAAAATATTACAAGAATAGAGTGGAAATGAGTTAAAACAGGTTAAAATCGAATAAAGGAATAAAGTAGAAGATATAAAAACAATAAACTAAATTATGAAAAACTAGTAAAAAATGTGTTGAAACAGTTGTAAAAGGTATAAAGTTTAGGAAATAAAAACAACTCGCTATTAAATGGATTAAAAACAGGGTAAAATGTGTTAAAACAGGTGTAAAAAGAAATAAAGTATAATAAATAAAAATAACAAACAACAAAATGATTAAAAACAGGTAAAATGTGTCAAAACAGGTGTAAAAAGAAATAAAGTATAATAAATAAAAACAACAAACAATAAAATGATTAAAAACAGGTAAAATGTGTCAAAACAGGTGTAAAAAGAAATAAAGTATAATAAATAAAAACAACAAACAATAAAATGATTAAAAACAGGTAAAATGTGTCAAAACAGGTGTAAAAAGAAATAAAGTATAATAAATAAAAACAACAAACAATAAAATGATTAAAAACAGGTAAAATGTGTCAAAACAGGTGTAAAAAGAAATAAAGTATAATAAATAAAAACAACAAACAATAAAATGATTAAAAACAGGTAAAATGTGTCAAAACAGGTGTAAAAAGAAATAAAGTATAATAAATAAAAATAACAAACAACAAAATGATTAAAAACAGGTAAAATGTGTTAAAACAGGTGTAAAAGGAATAAAGTATAATAAATAAAAACAGCAAACTATTAAAAGGAATAAAAACAGGTAAAAATGTTTTAAAATGGGTTTAATGTATAAACAAAGTATAAAATATTAAAACGATTAAAATGGGTTTAAAAGGAATAAAATATGGGGAAAAAAACAATTAAAAACTAACTTTAAGAATGTGTTAAAACAGGTTTAAAAGTAAAGTATAAGAAATAAAAACAACAAAGAACTAAAATGATTAAAAATTAATTTAAAATGTGTTAAAACGAGATTTATAAGAGTAAAATACTCTTATAAATACAACAAAGAAATAAAATATTTAAAAATAATTATAACGTGTTAAAACCATTTTAATAATAATTAAAAAAAGTAGGAAAGACAAATAAGACTGAACTGATGGAATGTTTTTCCTCTGTGTTCTGATTGGACGCTCAGCTCATCACCGTGTACACAATGCCTGGAATGGACTCTGATTGGCTGATTGGCGAGAGAGGAAACCAGAAGGGGAAGGTGCCTGTTACATATCTAGAGCTGCTGAGCTAAACACAAACACACACACACTCTTCCACAACTTCAACACTGATTCTAGCTTTAACAGCCAAACTAAATCATGGACATCACCGAGATCAATCCACATTTATTTACTACAAAATATATATTGTGTGTTATGTGTGCATGTGTTGACATGGGCTTCATTTTTCTCTTTATTTGAATATTGATGATGCTATTAGTGTAGATGGGCTCATTAATATTGAACGATGCTAAATGGAAAGCAAGTCATCACAGTAATAATATGACCCGTCCCTCTTTTTTTAATAGTAAACATGAAATATTAAATGATGTCATCACTCATTAGCATTGCAGTACAGAACAAACCTCAGAGCTGATCATATTCAATCGTTCATTCACATATGCCTGGAAGTCATTATGAGCACATGCATGTGCTTGTTTACTGCACTAGAAACTGTTCTGGGGTCAGTCCGAATGTCTTTCTGCCTTCAATATACACAGAATGATCTCTATTCGGGACATCACTGGACTAAGCTAAATAATACACCTTCACAAGTTGATATATTTGCACTCATTAGTTTCCTAGAGAAGCCTAAATGATGAATTAAACACAGCCTTAACTGCATCTCATGTAGATGGACGAAATGTAAAGCGCTTCACGCCAAACGAAGTCTACAGGTTAAAAAAATATTGTTTAAAAGTCAACATGTTTCAGAACATGATTGTTGATCTCTAGCCTTAAATTCCTCTTTGGAAAACCTGTACTTGCATGAGGAAGCTGACAGCGTGGTAATGCCTTCTTGCTGGTCTCTTAAAATTTGACATGATTTACAGAAATGTGGAGAGTTTTAGAGGTGTGCGATATGTTTTACTAATGTACAAGCTGATATTATTAAATATATAGACCTTTTTCTTGGAACGCAAAATTACCCATTATGCTTTGCGTGTATGCGCAAGGAGAATGCGAAGAACTTCCGGTCGGCAGCTGATGCATGTAAACAGTCACATTTGGACAGCTTTGAAACGATAGTTTTAATCTATTTTACCTGCTTTTATCCTCTTTGAACTAACACTGTTGTCCATCAGCAGCATCTCCTGGACTGATCATTTAAAAAAATGTGATCTAATAGGATGGAAAACAGCTGCTGTGAGGCGTTTTCCCCTCGTTGTCAGACGGCATCTTCTGCAGTTTAAATGAAGCCTCGTCATCGCTAAAGTCAACGTTTTCTCTTTATTTCAAATATATAACCAGCCCAAACTAATGTAGTTCACCAACATGTTTGACACACACACACACGTAGCCTGTACTGTGCCACTCACACACTGATTTAATAACTGTGACAAAGTGAAAATATAGGCTAGTGTCATTTCGAAATGACAGAAAAACACAAACCGTGGTAAAAACAACACACGAAATAAAACACAAACGGCTCGCGATTAGAATGAACAGCAAATCAGCAGCAGAGGATCAATAACAGACTTTTATCTGTCATTTTTGTAAATTGCACAACTTTCATACCTGTTACGTTTCATGCCAGTACTCTGGTTTGCTCTCTCTCTCTCTCTCTCTCTCTCTCTCTCTCTCTCTCTCTCTCTGTCTCTCTGTGTGTTAAAGAGCCGCTGAGCTGACAGGCTGACACACTGTATTTCTGACGGCAGACGCGTGAACTAGGAGAACGTTTTTCTCGTATTTCTGATGCGCTTGAACCTCATGTGACAGATTATAACGGCTTTAACAGACACATTTCTAAGTTGTGTGTCACAAAAACACTCTGTTATCCATTAAAAACATTATTGAAACCCATTTTCGGAGTGCAAATTACCAGTTGTACACGCTGTAAACGGAAGTTTTTAGCATTCTACCGGAAGACGCTGGTCGCTATGGCGCCCTCCATGCAGCAGCCATGAAAAAGGTCTATACCATGTCACGCTTTTTGGAAAAACACAGCTTGAGTATCCAAAAGTAAGCATTGACTGTATAATTAGGCCTGTCATGATATCTATTTTTCATTGTAGGATATACTGCACCAAAATATATTGCGATAAACAATATTATTGTAATTTTAAAGGGCACATAGTTTACCCCTTTTTTTATGATTTAATATTAATATTATGGTTGTTCTGAGTGTGCCAGTTTAGTTTCAGTTCAACATACAGTTCAGATGTTTTTATTATAATCTGTTCAAAAGTGTCATGTGGTGGGCGTGTACACAGCTCGCTGTTTTATGGGGCGTGTTGCTTCACATGAAAACTAGTTTCCGCTTCCCGCTCAACGTAACAAGGGGCGAAGCCAAGAGCTCCTACGTTCTGTGTTTGCAACAGACAGGCAGACAGGGAGAAGCTAAGCTAGGATCAGCATTCAGCCGTACATGTACGACTCAAACGCAGACCAAGCAGAGAGTACACAATCATTTGTGTATTTGTATAGTTTTACAGCCAATTGTGTGCTAGTTTCAAGTGCCGAGCTTGTATACCGAGACTAATAACCACGCACACTGATTTAACTTTGACTGAGGCACCAGATGTGTCAATCGAAGCTGCGACGCAGCACACCAGACACTCTCAGTAGCGCGGCAGAAACATGAAGTGTCCCGAATCGTCGCGCCACGCAGCGCCATGCATTCCAGAACTCCAAACACTGTCCTCAACCTGGGCAAACATAACGACGCCCCAGGTCAGCTGCTACCCGTGGCGCCCAGCCGCTGACCCGAAGCGTGCACCCCGACAGAAACCCACGCCCAGAACTTCGAAATGCACGGCGTCACGCCACGCAATGAGATCTGGTGTGCGACCTGCAGGCAAGTTCAGAGCTTCTGTGTTTGTGAGAAATGCAAACGGCTGAAGTTTAAGGTAGACGCAATAAAAAGTACACATGTTTGCAAACCTACCTAAAGTTACAAACAATAATTCCGATTACAGCGATCATGTGGTGAATGTTGATATTGTTTTGAGCCCAATGAGCCTTACATCTAAAAATAGAGCAAGGGTGTTCCTTTAGTGACATCA